ATCCCTGAAGCGTGCCCTTCAAACGGAATGGATCAAAATCCCCCAGGAAACCCTGCGTGCCGCAGTCGATGCATTCCGAAAGAGACTTCGCGATTGTGTTACAGCAAAAGGTGGTCATTTTGAATGAATTTGCGGGCATTATCTGTTGAAATGGTTGTAGTTTCTAATAGCGTTGTCCCCATTTGTGAGTTCTTTAAAAATTGTTATAAAAAGTTGAGATAACCGAGTGTACAGAACTTTTGTGTCACCCTGTAAAGCGCGAGTGGGGCAGAAGATTCCATGAACCCTGGGTATCCCTATCCGGGCCACTCATAAAAGCCCTACGCTTTGCTTGGTTCCCGTGGGGTAATATTGACACTGGCTGGGACTTAGCTGAGAAGGGAAAAGCGTGCATGGTCTCTGTGGAGAACGCTTTATCCCTCCTTTTCTGTTAGCTCTAAAATAACTTGAAGGCTGTCTGGGATATCCTTTGACCCCATTCTGCTCCTGACTACATTTGACTAAATTCATGACGACAGCGAGAGTCAGATAAGGTGATCATCATTTATTCATTTATAGGCAGTTCACAACGTATACAAATAAATATCACGAAACAACTGATATTTATTTGGGTTACACAATGGATCAATCGTGATAATTTCAGGAGTTTTCATCCCATGGGGTCTAAGTAGACCCCAGACAGCAAGGGAGAGTTAAATTAGATATCTGGACCCCCGACTAAATTGGCGTCTCATTGAGTCAATCCAACAATTCAAGCATGGTTTTATAAGGAGTGAGGTAGTCAAGCAAAACGATCATCGATATCCAGATAGCAACAAGAAAAATTTTTCTTTCATTGACCTGATAGGGCATAAATGGCTTTGGCTTGGGTCAACAAGCTAGGATGTGGCTCCAACCAGAAATGGGGTTTACAGAGCGCGATAGCACCCTAATAGCTAGATATAGGTAGGAGCCATCGCACAGGTATGACGAGCGGTAAATATGGTATCATTTGCAGCACTTACCAAGCCTTGTCAAATAGGCACCATCTGGGTAATGTGCATAGTCTTTATATTACCCAGAAATTCAACGAGAAAGATCTATATCAGTGGTCTCAAACTCATGGCCCGCGGGCCGCATGCGGCCCGCAAACGCTCTCAATGCGGCCCGCGACCCATATGCGTACACCGAGAGAGAAATGTTTCAGGCCCAATGTACACAATCAGGGAAAACCTTCAGACTTTTTTCACTCTGGCCCGCACACCGAAATGAGTTTGAGACCCCCTGATCTATATAGTGGTACAGCCATGCAAACCAAAATGCATCATGAAGGTGACTGGAATGCAGGGTGGTCAGGTACCGAAGATTTACTATGCCTATGACATGGTTTCAATGCAAATCACTCTTTAGTGGCGCCACCGATGGCAATATTTTTTAAGTACTAGGAATCGATTCTCACTGTGTTACTCGTCGTGTCTATGCGATGGCATCATCCTACTCCTTAAAGTTTAGGCGTTATAACGCTTTGAAGTCGAATACTTTCTTTATAACCATGCCGTATTTCTCTCCCCATATTATGCCTTTTTTAAGGTCCCATACAATGTGCTGGGTTGCAATGTTGCCCTTGGAATATTATATTCTCAACGTGCATTTCATTGTTGCATGTGGCCATAGTCATACATTTTCCCTTGTCATGAACACCTGTGGCATGTCCTCCTTCCTTTTCTGACAATGAATATGATACAGATCTCCAGTTGTTATTTTTGCGTCACGTTTTTTGTCAGCTTCAAATTTAGTTTTCTGCAAACGGCACAAATTTATATATAGTTAATTCAGGATGTACTGGTATATTGTTCACAGAATTACTGTAAATGCGCTAGATCGGATTCTAGAGGAAGTTCTGGACTCAATGTTTGTTCTTAACGTGAGAAACGACTTTGGTTAGATGTTTAACATTGGTAGATGAAAATGTGCTGCAATTCCTGTTAATTCAGATGCTGATGAACGTGAGGATAGCCTCCCACATAGGGATGGGTCTGCTCATCTCATTGATGTTCGTTGGCCTGGGTGACGATGCGTCCAGGGTCTACAACAACTTGTCTGCAATCTTATTCACCAAGTTCTTCCTCATGTTCAGCTCCATGTTGTCCACCATTCTCACATGTAGAGCCACATTTTCTGGCCAGCGCTGCATTCCATCCTTCCATCCTTCCTCCTTCTTTATTTTTTAAATCCGTTTTGACTCAATATGATCCCAGTTCCTCTGGAGATGCCAGTGCTGGTACGAGAGACTATGAACTCATGGTACAACCCCATAACCTACTATCTCGCCAAAACGATCATTGACATCCCCTTTCAGGTTAGCAACTCTCCTTTTTCTTCATTCATTGATCTTCACGTATTCATGAGTCAGATTGATATACATTTAGATTTTCATTTATCTTCTCAACAATTTTTTGAACTTGTCTACATGATCATACTTTTATTATGGACACGGCCATTTGTGAAGTTTGTTGCCTCTTTGGTGTACAGCCACCTATTTTAGGCAGGGCCTTGAAGCCGTATTTTGTTAGGATGTGACAATTAGAGGTGTTCTCGACTTTGTCACCCCTATGTCTGCTGTCTGTCATGCACCTGTCGTTTCACGCAGAGGAAGACCAATGAATGCACTCGTCACTATAATTTTTCTTCATACTGGAAAAAAATAGACATTCAAAACTGGATGTTTCCTTTTCGATCCGCAGACGAGTCTCTCAGATCTAACTCAGATTGAAGCAAGTCAGGGTATTAGCTACAGTTGAGGTCTCGGAGACGAACGGCGAGTTTGGCGATTCGGACGATGGTGTGTTTCTCGAAGAGGTGGATGGAGCCCAACAAGAAGTTCCGAAGAAATTCCGGCGATCTCACTTTGTTGGTGGGGGACATGGTTACGCGTTGGGCTCTGCCAGGGTCGCTTTTTCTTTCGATTCACATTTCACGTGTAAATTGATGGGATTTGCTGATGCGGCCTAGGCACGGTAGGGGTACAGTTCGACTGAAAGAATTGCAGTTGATAATGTATAATGAGGGTATACGATTACGTATGTCCAGTATTTCTTCATTTGTATGTGTGTGAAGGGACCTTCATGCATGTCCTCTTCCTCATTCATGTTTTCAATTATGAATTCAATTTACTTTTCATCATGTGATGCGAAATCATGTCCATGGGCAATGATGACGTGTCATCAGCGACATTTTCTCTTTTTCTCGTGTAGATTATATTCACCCTCTGCTACCTGGTGATTGTTTACTTCATTACGTCGCAGCCGCTCTCGACGGAACGGTTCCTGATGTACTTCGCAATTTGTGCCTATGTGTCCCTCATTTCACAAACCATGGGACTCCTCATTGGTGCCGCTTTCAAAATTCAGGTGAGTCCGGCTACTATTCTCTGACGTGAGGTCTAAAACTCCCGTATCATTGGCAGGAAATTTATCAGAGTGGATAGGAAATAAGCAGTTCCTTTTTTCTCTCCTGGAAGTCTTCCTGTAGCTGTAAAGTACAAGGGGTGTCCAAAGTTTTTCCGAAAACATCTAATAAAAACTAAACCATTATTTTCATCGCTATCAAAATCGATACACAGAAACATCACACCTCCTCATCCTTCAAAATAAACACTGTTCGAATCTATGCTCTTCTGCCATCTGGAGGGCAACGATTGTATACCCCTTCTGTAGAAGCTTGTATCTTGCTGTAGCTGGCGTTCGTAACAATGCAAGTTATCGCCAAATTGAGTGGACTGTTGCCAGGCACTCACCTTATATAGTCCACACGTAGCCCCTCCAACTATCATCAATTTGGCCAGTTGAAGGACCACCTTTATGGAATACGCTTTGTCAGTAGTGAAGATCTTCAAAATGATTCTTCAAAATTAAAAAAAAAGTTACGTTTTTATTCAATGTTTTCGGTAACTTTTCGGACACCCCTCACAGTTCTGAGTTTCGGGTATGCGAATCGCTGGGGTTAGTAATAATATTTACTCCTGTGACTGGTGACTCAAGTTTAAAGCTAACCACGTCTGGATTTCTTTCCGACTGCAAGCCCTAATGTGTTTGGGAGGATCCTTGTGCGTATAGCTTACCGAGATATGCGCGTAACTTATGCGGGATGTTGAGGAAACCCCAGTAGTGAAGGCTGAACCCAGGGAGCATATCCCATGAGTTTGGGCCAAATTGAGTCTCCCAAAGTCTCCCAAACCGGTAGCCGAGCTTGGGTATTATCAATAGATGAGGTTACAACGGAATGGGATGTAGATGGGAGTAGGGTAAGCTGGGATAACCAGAGCGAGAGGGCTTTCGTGGCCCTTGACCCCCTCTGATGGCTTATCGCGTTGTATCATAGTGACATTGATAATCATCTGAACTTAGGAGACTTATCTTTCTTTTCATTTTAGACTGCTGTATTCGTGGGTCCGGTGTGCTCGGTCCCGTTGTTCCTCTTCTCCGGGTTTTTCCTCAGTGTAAAGGCGATGCCACAATACTATACATGGATCTCTTATCTCTCGTTCATGAGGTACATCTACGAGGGATCCATGTTTTGCATCTATAGCTTCGATCGGGAGGATCTCACGTGCAAGCAACCGTTTTGCCTCTTCAAGGACCCAAAACAGTTCCTCGCTCAGGTGGACCTCGATCACAATGTCTACTGGGATGATTTCTGGATCCTTTTCGGCTTTGTTCTCGCCTTACGAATTGCTTGCTACATTCTGCTTCGGTGGAGGCTCCTGCTGCGATAACTACTTCCCCGGATCTGGTCATTCTCCGGCAAGTGTTGTCATATGGTTGAAGTATTCCAAATAGAAAGCACCTCTGGTTCTAGCCGTCCTCTCCATATAGCCCTGGCTTCAGTCCACCTGGTGACGATAGCAGTGATTTTATCGCATTGCGCGAAGTAATATGGACCCGAGAATCAAAAGAGTCTGTGCTCATCATTGGTAATCAAGAATATATCAAGATCAGGACTTATTCAGGAACCTTTTCCACGGTCTGTGATGCTCTTCAGCTTCATTCTGGTCCATCGTCCCTATTGTCTTTTTTTTATAGCTCTATGTTTAGAGATAGTGCTCTTGCCCAGTGGAATTCGTGCAATGGAGTGTTGCTTTCCATGTGAGGAAATGAACTATGGGACTATACGCCATTACGGGGAAGGTAAAAAGATTGATTTCCCTCCTCTTCACTCTATTCTTGTCTCACTAAAAATGTATCTATACTATGCTGTTCTTGGACTAACTTTATATTATACCTTTGGATATGGCTAGATTTTTAAGGAATACACGTTCTTAAGAAGTAAACACTATCAGGCACGGGCCACGCCAGATGATTGCCAAGGGAACTCGAATAGCACTTCAGAGCGCGGTCAAGTTTACGAAATAAAGCAAAATATATGGTTAATAAAGTGAAAATTACAAAAACTCACAGCAGTTGTTCTTTTATTTTGTATTTTATATTCCCCGTGAGCCACGTGATCTTCATCCTTGCCCGCTAGTATCCGCGCTACACTTAAAAAACAAGACGAGAACGCTCTAGTTTTCCTCTCTTTCTGGTTAACGTCTGTGTACAGGCGTTAACCTGAAATCAATCCTAGCGACCATGGGACATCGACACGTATCCTCAAAGTCCTCATCCCTATGTTTTAGCCCTTTAGTTTGCGGGCATTTATATCGCCAAAAATTATTCAGATCGTCATTGACTTTACAGTACATTGCAATCTGTTTCACTGAGTTCACAATATATAATGCGTATGAAGAACGAGAACTTCCCATGACTGAGTTGTACTTATCAAGAATTAAGATCGTGCGTACAGCGTAAAGCAAATAAATGCAGCAGATGGCAATAAACACTAAAACCGGATCGTATTTGACCTTTTCCTCGGCGAGGAAGACATCCCACCTGAATAGACCATGACGCTGAAGTCCTTGGCTTTTCTTCATTAAACAGCGAAAAAAAAACCGGACAAATGCAAGCGAAATCAAGCAGGAAAATCGAAATATTAATTTTATTCATTGAAACGAGAACAAAACATACAAGAATAACGAGTGGACGAAGGCCGAGTCATTAGAATTAGAATTAACTGCGCCATCTGGCCTTAGCAACAAGCTGCAGTTCCTTCTCTGATCACTCATTTTTATCATGAATAATTTCTTTTCTGAGGATATTTTCTTCCCCTTTTCCCTTTATTCTAGATCGTAATGCATGAAGCAGGCAGCAGCCTGCGTCTTCAGGGTGTTCACGCTAAAAGATGAAAATTTTGTCCTTACGCAGCAGACTGAAGCGACCTCCATGGGAACGCTGCACTATTGAACGGAACGCTGCAGCTCATGTGACCTCCAGCAAAGAAACATAAATAAAGCAGGTCTAACACGTGAGAGTGTACTCGTTTTCCTTATTTGACGTACTTTCAACCTTGGCTGAAGTACTTTTAATGTAGATTTTCTTTTTACCCGACCACCTTTCATAGAAACAAAAACCTCAACAGAGCAATAGGCCTAAATGAGCGTCTGAATTGCAATTCCTGTTGCAACAAAGAATGAGTGGCAAAGGGCCGAGTCAAACCTATGTAATCAAAGGTGTTAACCATCCATGTCGAATTTTAAAAAGGAAACGATGGATTCCCCTAGAACCATCTATTCAACTCAAGTACGATACGATCAAGTTTGGTGACCCAAGTGATATGGAATGAAAAGTGGAACACGATTCCATGGAAACTGCAATGACTCAAATCAGACGTCATCTAAACTATGGAGAAGATGCGCATAACAGAAATTCCTTCCATGAACCATGTGCCACGTGCAGATACAGGATTTACGGCTTTCCCAAGACTTCTTCCCCTATTCCACTTTCACGATTTTGCGTTTCCTCCGTTCTCTCGTATCGAGTTCCATGTATCCTGACAGACGAAGAGAAAACAGCTTCAGATTGCAATGCAAGGACAGGCAGATGAACTCTGGAAATATGTGCGACTAGGATTAATGTGCGATTAGATCAGAGGTCGGGAACCTTTTTGGCCATGTGAGCCATATTATGATTGAGGTAGGTGCTTGTGAGCGAAAAAAAAATCAAAACTGCAGAATTTTTCCTGAAGTTAGCGACAGACATGTGCATTCTTTGCTGCATGAGAAAAATGGGGAACAACCATGATTTTTATCCATGGCTCAATGAGCCAAACTTTTCGGCTCGTGAGCCAAATTTGGCTCATGAGCCATAGGTTCCCGACCCCTGGGTTAGATGAATGATCGAGTAGTATAGAAGAGCCTCACACTATTAATTTCACAATTGAGACGCACACAACCCATAGAACCATAGCACCATGGCCCACAGACGTATGTTTTCACGGAGTTGACGGGCGCCCATGATGCACACGAGCTACGCAACTAGTTGTGGAAAGAGACGTCCTCTCGTGGTTTTCTCATTCCTGGCCTAATGATAATACAGTCGAACTCGGTTATAACGAAACCTCGGTTATAACAACGAAAGCGCCAGGTCCCGGCGTAGAGCCCATAAGGCACGTTACATTTTACCTCGGTTATAACGAAATCTCGCTTATAACGAAGTCCATTGAAGATCTCACAGACGAAATCGACAACGTTTATGTCCCTAATCCGTCATTCTTAACTGAAATTTCCGTCTCGGAGTGCCAATAAAGGCAACCTCGGTTAGAGCGAACCTCGGTTATAACGACGGTTTTTACCTGGTCCCTTCGATGACGTTATAACCGAGTTCGACTGTATTAACCATTTCAGACCTGAATTTAAACCACGATCGGAAAAAAATATTTTCCGATCGTGAATAATTCAACTGACAGCCAAGAGAGAGGGATTCTTACGGAGTTCAGTCATGCAGAAGAGTGTCCATTGTAATGGAATGTGGGGCACACCATCTTGAGAATCACGAGAAGTCCCAAAAGAAACACGAAATGAGGTGTCCACTAAAGTGGACGCAAGGTTTGAAAGGGTTAACGTCACCCTCTCAGAATATGAACCCCTATAGATTCCAGTGACGCATTGATATTATTATGCACTACTTTGACAGAAACGATACGTCTGTTAACAGAAGGTACCCATGATTTAAAACCGTAGGTTATGGTGGCTTGAACTCCAACTCGAGAATTAGTTCTCCACTTATTACGGGTACCTTACCAGATACCAATGGCTATACTAGACGATTTAAACAATTTCAGCATCCACCTTCTCAATAAATAGTCAACCTAAGAGTTGAGATTTTATGCTTATATTCGTAATCAACTTAAAAGTATATAATAATGCAATCGTGTATTTAAAAAAAAGAAGTATATAATAATAATAATAATAAAAATAATAGCGGTTTCTACCAGTTCTGAAATGTAAAATTTTTGCTGTTTTTGTGAGGGCTTTGAGAGGAAGCTAGAATCCTAGAATTCTAATGACAGAATTATGAACGGGCAAGAAAAGAGGAATGAGAAAGAGGCAACAGTTGCCCTCAGGACTCCCTTCTCTCCCCCCTACCCCCACTTCGCCCATTCTGACGACGTTCCGCCCCCACTGTTGCTTCCTACCGTTAATATTTTCTTGCATGGGTGTATGATGTGGTCCGTTACGCAAAGTCACAAGACTGCGATTACATCCCGGATCCTGCGATTGTGAGCCCAGCAGTCCCCTTTCACCGACCCGCATCCATGGAAAAGGCGGAGCATCACACTATTCAGTGAAAAACATTAACGGGAACTTGGAGTTTCCTCGCGTATAGATGCGAGCAGAAAACAAAAGCCCACTCTTTCTCCCCACCCCCTCTCGCTCTCTCGCGGAGAGTCCTTTAGCCTTTTCAGTATCGAATTATTTTCTGTCCATTTTGAATTTTCCTTTTTGCATAGGAACGTGTTAAATATCGCTCAATATGCGAAAAATGATTTAATTTAAATATTTTTAACATATAAATATCAGTTGTAATTAATTGGTTGTCACGATTCCCTTTGGGTGGACAACGTCCGGATGGATCCCCACTTCAGAACATCACCTCATAAAGGAATGGGAGAAGTAAGTGCAAATAACCAACGTTGTCTCCACTTCCCGTGGCCAATCGTGCGTGCGTCGAGCGGAAAGGTTAACAACCCTCGCCCGCGACTCAGGGCCTAGGGGGGGGAAGGGGGGGGGGGGGGGGGGGGGACCAAGCGAGGGTGGGGGGGGGGGAGGGGACCAAGCGAGAGTGAGAGTCCTTTGCCCCACACCTACGAGAGCAGTCTCCCGCTCGTCTACCTCCGTGCTCCCCGATGGAACTGCAGACGCTGAAGATGACGGACGCGACGCACGTCTTCCCACCCTGGATCCTCGACAAGACTGCGAGGATGTCCATGCACGTGGAGAGCGGAAACGGCCGGCCGTCGGCGGGCATCTTCGATTCCGGCGGATCGAAGAAGCCCGCGACGATTCGAATCTGTCCGTCTCCGTCCCTTACGAGTTGTGCTCCGTGTCCCCCCGATTTCGGCTCAAATCTCCTATCCGACCGCTCTCTCAGGTATTTCTTCCGATTCATTAAAACGGCAACAGTGAACGTATCGATTGCTCGGGCATCATTTAAGGGAGAAGAGAAAAAAAAGGGAGGTTTGTGACCTTGACTTTGAATCGGAATGGCCCCCTGGGGGCTTTTTGCGTATCGGAAGCTCCTCCTTACTTTTTCTCCGCCTTCCCCTTTCCATGCATATTTTCTTGGCCGCATGTTACAAAAGCACTATCTTGTAACGAGGAAGGGCATGTCATTCCACGTC